CCCCCGCTCCCCGCTGGTTCAGCCTACGCTCCAAAAAAGTTGAGCTTCATTTAGGTCCCGCGTCACAGCAAAAAGCCTATTTTCTTAGAAAACTATTCCACATCTTTGCAGCTTCGCATGAAACTGGAGAGAATATTTCTACGATTGTAGTTGCCCTATTTCCATGTTTCTGGATTTAAATTATACGCTTGAACAGAAACAAGCACTACACACATTTACATACGCACATGCATAAATGCATGCATAATACATACATACATACAAACATACATACATACATACATACATACATACATACATACATACATACATACATACATACATACGTACATACATACATACATACATACATACATACATACATACATACATACATACATACATACAATAATAAGTACATGCACACATTCATACATATTTAGGTACATATATGCATAAGACCTCTCTTGCATGAAGCTTTTTTATTGTGCAAATGAAGCGGAAAACCATAAAATTGGCTAAGCTTTCTTTTTTCTATGCTGAAAATTTGTTGAAAGTTTTTTTTTTCTTTTTTTTCTGAAAAAATTTTCGACTATGCCAGTAATTTACTCGCCCACTGGTTTTCAAGGATATGCTTTTCGGATGCATAAAAAATGCATTAAGTTTTGCATCATATGTTACTAAATGTGTGATTTCCGAAAATGTTTAATGTAGCATTAATGTCTCGACAAATACTCAAAAATGTGTAGCAGAATGTGAAAACTGCTTAGTGGTGGAAATGTTACATCCGGAACATTTACGTACTGGCTAGTGAACATGTTCAAGGAGCAACGAAAATCGTCGAATCAGTCAAAAACTTTTTCTCCAAAAAAAACTCCTCAGAATTTATGTATTAAAACTGAGTTTTTAAAATCTTGCACCATTTTCAATTTTTTAATGTATTTCATTTTCAGTGTTTTCAAACTGTTGAATCGAAAGGACACTGTCGACTTTTTTTTGTCGCCGCGCTGAAAGTAATGCCGTTGTTTAGTTATCTCTTATATCACTTACTTGTATCAGTGCTGGCATCGCTCTGTCAACGGTAATTAAAGCAATTAGCCGCTGCCAAAAGTGGTCATGGACGAAAGTTGAAGAGCGAGCGCTAGCTGTGATGAAGAGAGTGCTGAAGCGAAGAATGACTGGGCGCATAAATAACCGGACTTTCTGTAAGATAAACGGCATAAAGGATTTTACTGCAACCAAAAAGGAGCGGGTAAAATCCGGGGGCAGAGCTTGTCGGTCATCTTGTTGACAACTGGTGAACACCTTACATTAGGCGGAAAGTGAACAACTAGCCACGTAACTCCTAAAAAAGTAGCTCATGCATCAAACAGGCGATGAGTGTTAACTGGACGTATGCAACCCAGGGACGAAGAATTTGGCAAAGCTGTGATCGCCGTGTGGAAGCATTCGAATACTATTACCAGATCTCCACATCCACTATTTGAGTGGTGTCGGCTTTCTTGATGCTTGAATTACAGCTACCTCTCACAAAGAGTGCAGAGTAAAAGAATTTGAATTTTCGACTATGACAATGTATGATGCTTGGAGCTTTTCCACACGACGAAAAATTTGAGGATGGGGAAAGCGGCTACTTCCAAAACGGTCCTTAGAGAGGAAGAGTACACCATCAGTTTTTGCCCAAATATCACCACACTTTTTAACAAAACACTTTATGCGCTCGCACTTGGGCACCACACTTAACGAGCCAGAAACCCATTTTGTCCGCGCCCCTGATCCTCGCTGTTCCGTTCTCCCTTGCCACCTCACATTTTTCTCGAGGTCTACAAAAAAATTCTCATTTCCTTTACACTTTCGTTTGATAACTTGAGCAGCTAATTCTACGCTTCTCGCTATTTTTCTTTACCCTTATCTTCTAGTGGGCTGCATTCGACCAGGCTTAACAAGTAGGCAAAAAAAACAAAAGCAAGCCAATTGAAGAAATTTGATTTCTGTTGCTCCATCGGCTGCTTTCTCCATTTCTGCATTGGCTGGAGAAATTTTGAAGAGTGTATAAGAACATCCTAGTAAAATCGCCAATATGGGACCAAAAAACAGAACCAATTTTCCAAGCAGATTTGATATTCCTGGCACCGAAGGTATTAATTCTTCTTAGAATATTTCAAATAGCAAAAAACTTTTATTTTAAAGGGATCAAATTTCGTTTGGAAATGCATTAAGATCAAAGATGAACGATCTTCCTACGTATCGTGTGTACCGATGGGCATTTTGGAGAAAAGTCTGTGTTTCATCTCTTAGCTGTAAATGTTGGCAGACAAGAGCATGCGAATAGGAATGAAAATCATCAACTCATTCTTTTAACCGCTACATGAATGATGAGCATTTTTAGAACTGATTTTTTTTAAGGCAGAATCTAGCTAAAGAAGCACTGAAATTAACCAGTGAGTGCTAGGTTGCACTAGAAGTGAGCCTGGAACTTCGGGTTTATTTTCCTAAGCTTAAATTAAAAAAAAGTGCAATAAAAACAGACGAAGGGACTAAACAATCCCAGGTGCTTTTCTATCTCATGCTGATGACGTTAGTACCCCGTTTCTATTCCGGTCAAGTTACCAGTTCCTTTACTTTAACCAGCTGCTGCTTTTCACAGCAGTGCCCTCTTTGCTTACCTTTTAACTTTTCGACTCTGCCTCACCCTAAGCCTACTGCATCCAGTTAGCCCCTGAGAGCATCAAAAGACTGCAAATAAGACCACATTTACCAGAACAGCGTGAATTGCATGAGGTCCTCAAATTAAAGCCTAGCCGAGGTGATCACTCATTATAACTTGTTATAATTCGAGTTTCTTTCCTGAGTGCCTCTGCCTCTCAAAAAATACGAGATGATAAGAATATTAAGACTGCTTGGACAGTCAGTATGGGTACCATGCTTCTAACAGTATCACTGGATGCTTCCTCTTGCCGGATTCAGCTAATGAATAAGCCATTCGGACCTGAGCTGCAATACTTCCATACGGTAATCTCTCTCGCTGAAGAAGCCTTTTCGCAAATGAATAATGGATACCAGGCAAAATCGAACTCTCTGTTTTCACATGCGGACGTGACGTGCTAAACTAATGCACCACCAGTCTTATGCTCCCTTTTCAGCAGTCGGGTCATAATCTGTGCGTTGTCTGGTTGTTGCCCCCTGTGCAGCAAACCCTTTAAAGATGGCTAGCTTTTCATGGGTTTTTCGCGGTACCGATTGCCGGTGTTTGTACACCACCTCTTCGGATTTTTCCTTTCTTAAGGCTAATACACAGCAAAGTATGACGTGCATCGTTGTCAGTAGTGCGAACTTGGCGATGTTGAAAAGTTTTTGGCCTGATGTACATGGATGAAAGTTTATACTTTCATTTTCTAATGCACAAATGTGTGCATTTGTTCACTGACATTCTCGGGCTGTAACTTGTCATCAAATGTATTTTTTGTCCAGGAAAACTTTTTTTGCTAACTTGGACTTTCCTCGTCTTAATGTGACAACCTATCAATTTTTACATGCAATTCATTATATCCCAGTGAATGCACTTTTTTTCCAGCCTGTTGATGTAGCACATTCCGGATATTGTTTCAGGATGTTATATAGGGCAACAAATTCGTGTCTTCAAACCCCAAGTTCTTTTCTTTGGTGCCGTCACGCCATATCACATCATTTGGCCAAAATTGTGTTTGGGAAATTTTTTATCCAAACATGTCTGACGGACTTGCATTCTTTTTTTTTCAGGCAAAAAAGACTGGCCTTTGAAAACTTTGAATTGGACAGTCTTTTCTGGGTGTGAGAAGGAATTTTCCTGGATAAATTACAGTACAGGAAAATTTAAA